TTTCTAGCAAACTAAATGTTGCTCACTCTGACAAGTGTTCCTCACCTCAGTGAGGACAGGCTGTTGGTCTCCTCCCAGGAAGTGCGCCCCCTTGAGGACATCTGGAAGGAAACGACCACTTAGTGGCACCCAGCACAGCTTCCACGAGACAAAGAGAGAGACACTGAAGAGAGCCAGACCACAGGTGGTTACAAGCAAGGACAGCAGGCTCACCGATACATCTAGAGATGGAAGAGAGACAGAGAAGGAGACTCAGTGGACAGTGAACACAGCTTTGTCAGTGAGTATCCCGGGCATAGATAATCCTGGCTCCCCAGGGAGGACAGACAGTGTTTGTTCAGAATGCTGAAGGAAGAAATAAAGTTTTACATTATTTCACTGTAGAAAAAAATAAAAATTACTCCCATGGATTGTTCAGATATTTGACAATTAGAAACAGCAACACATTAGATAAAGAGGTGCTAAAATGCAACAAAGGAGCACTAAAATTCAAGATAGCCTTCAAAAACAAAGAACACTGGAATAATATTGCATTTATGATTTGGCTCATTTTATCATGAATCATTTTTATATATCCATTGTTGTTTCTTTTTAAATAAACTCAAAGTCACGTACATGCCTCCGCATTATGTTTTCGAGCTGTCCATTTGTCTGGCCTATCTTAGAAACGGCACAGACCTCCTACAGACACATTCTTTAACAACAACAACTAAGCAGTTCTAACAATGCAATAAAAATGTGAAAAATATGGAATAAAAAAACAAGAAAAGAAACAAGTTCATATGACTCAAATATTACATATTGTCCCAATAATGATTGATAATGCCCATTGAATGGTCTGATAGCATTTGAAGCAGGTGCTTTTGGCTCATTGTTTGGTTTTTACAATTTACCACTTTTAACATTTTGGTTCACTCTCCCTGATCATTTCCACTTACAACAGGCTTCTGTTACCATAAAAAAACATAACCGACTGAAGGCTACCTGCCCATTTTTAAGCATCAGACAGACAAATATACTGACTAATGGGTGAAGAAACCAACCTTTTGCTGAAAAAACGTAGAAAAAAAAATCAGCTGGACTTGGCTTTAGGTCGAAGAATTAAAACCAAGTCGGCAGTTGTGCGGCAGTCCTAAACTCAGCTGACTATCAGATAAGAGTTTCCGACCTCCTCAGCGACACCACCACCTATGAAGCACTAGAGAGACCCCACCAGTGGCTACAAGAAGAAAGTTATAGACTGTTTACAGAAGCTGGAAAAGGAGGGAGTTATTGACCAGCGACTATACTACAGGCCCTTGCCTTTATGGCCTACACAAAATACACAAGGAAAGAGCCCCACTCAGACCCATTGTTAGCAGCATCAACTCTGTGACTTACAACATAGCCAACCATGTGGCCACCATTCTGACTCCTTTGGTGGGAAACACAGAAAACGACATAATTAACTTCCAGGACTTTGCGAGCAAAGTCAAACAACTGCAGCTGGACCATGTGACATCATCTGAGACCATGGACGAGACCATATAATGTCACATCCTTGTTCACTTGCATCCCCACCACAGAGGCTGTCAAGTCAGTGAAGGAGAGACTGCTGACAAACTTAACAGCAGGTCTAACCTCACCCCAGACCATGTATGCACTCTGCTGGAACTCTGTTTAAACACTACTTACTTCCAGTTTAGGGGGCACTTCTATAGGCAGCAACATGGCTGTGTCTCCTATAGCTGCCAACCTGTACATGGAAGAATTTGAGGACAAAGCCGTATCTTCCTCCACTGGTACCGCTCCCAGCCACTGATTCCACTACTTGGATGACACATGGGTTAAAATCAGGACCCCGGAGGTAGACGCTTTCACCAAGCATATCAACTCTGTGGATGACAGCAACAAGTTCACTTGGGAGAATGCCAGAGATGACTGTCTGGCCTTTTTGGATTGTGCAGTCCACTTGGGAGGGGACAGAAGCCTGAAGGTGGAAGTATATCGAAAACCTATGCACACGGACCAGTACCTGCTTTCTGACTCACACCATCCACTTCAACACAAACTGGGAGTCATCAGAACTTTGAACCACAGGGCAGAGGAAGTGCCCACAACTGCAGAAGGGGCCAAGAAGGAGAAACTACACATCCAGAACTCCCTTAAGGCTTGTGGATACCCTAAGTGGGCCTTCACCAAAGCAAGAAAGAGGCCCAACACCCCTTATGTGGCTGGTTTATCAGAAAAGTTAAAAAGGATCTTTCACAACCACAATATCCCAGTCAACTTTAAACCAGGGAACACCCTGCGGCAGAGACTGGTCCACCCAAAGGACAAAACAGCCAGACATAATCAGAGTGATGTGGTGTATGCAATTAAGTGTAGTCACGAGTGTAATGACTTGTACATTGGTGAAACTAAGCAGCTGCTGCACAAACTCATGGCTCAACACAAAAGGGCCAACCCCAGTGGACCAGAATCAGCAGTCCACCTCCACCTGAAGGACAAATGACATTCTTTTGAGGACAGTGAAGTGCATATCCTCTCCAGAGAACATTGCTGGTTTGAGAAAGTCAAGGAAGCTATTTTTGTAAAAAATAAAACACCCCTCACTAAATAGGGGTGGTGGACTAAGACACAACTTGTCTTCCATCTACACCATCTGTTTTAAGATCTCTGCCCAAACATGCCCACCAGGACAATAGGCGTCGGTGCACAGGTGAGGGTTCAAAGACAGCTAACGACGCTTACCGATACTGGGCTATAATGACTCAGTTGTTAGGGGACATTGTTTGGCATCAAAGGACTGAAACACCACCAAATGGGATAAATATCTCCGGCTCAACACCAGTCAGGCAGAACTGATGAAGCCTCTTGGATGAGAGGTGAAACGTCTTATACCTAAAACCAAGTCCAGTTGATTTTTTTCCTACGTTTTTTCAGCTTACTATGGCCTGGATGACTGAGAATCTGCATGGACAAACCAACATTTTTCACAAAAGGTGGCAGTGGTAAAAGGAGAGTGAGAACTGAACTCCACTCCAAATGGATGCTAATGTGGATGGACGTAGAAATAGGCAACTGCTAGTCTCAAAAGGTTTATAAATTAATGCAAATTTTATAATGATTCACATATTTCTTCCATCACTCTTGGAGCACAGATTCTATGAAACCCAATCATTCTCAGTATTTTTTTTTTCATTATTTTCTGAATGATTTTGTATTTGACCTTGTCTTTGTTGTTTGTTAATTGAAATAACATTTACAATATATCTAAAATATAATTTAGTTATCAATGTTTCAGAGAAGATGAGGCTCTGCTCATGTTTGAATTACACGAGCTTACTGTTACTGAGTTACTGGTTTCTCAAAAAGAGGTATGGATTATAAAGTATCCATTCCCGGCACTGCATATGGTAGTGCATTCCCATGTGTTTGTTGTTTTGTTGAATTCTTTCTCATCAACCGGAATAACTGATTTCTCATTGATTTCTGATTTCTGTGGCTCAATGCTTAAAAGAAATTTGACTCAGCGACTTGGACAGCGCAATTCAAAAATACCGGGCTTCCAGGTATAATGGATAGATTAATGGAGTTATCTGGGAAAACGAGAAGAGGCAGAATCTGCTTCTACATAAATGAAGGTTGGTGTACAGAGTGTCATAGTGTTAAAAATAACTTGAAACACTAGACCTTGTCTTTGTTGTTTGTTAATTGAAATAACATTTACAATATATCTAAAATATAATTTAGTTATCAATGTTTCGTGCCATGCTAGCACGCTACAGCACCTGGCCGAACAGGCAACTAGCATGGCACTGAAACATCCTGACTCCCCACTCATTGTCCTAGGGGATTTTAACAGACGCATTTTTGAGACGCATCACCGCGTAGTGCATAGTGTTGGCTTTCGTGGAGCTGCTAATTTTAGCCAGCGTTTGCAGGTCAAAAAAATGAATCAACCGTCAGCTTCTGGAATGAGAAATCAGGAAGGAGCGTTTTCTGTGCTACGATGTCACACAAGAGGTGTTCCCACAACAGCAATCTTTTGGCGCCAATGTTTCCTGTACATGCGTTATCTCTTTCTCTGTGTTACTGTCTTTCAGTATTCATCTTTTCTAATATATTGGGAAGTAGGGGATTTACAGTATTGTTCAAAATAATAGCAGTACAATGTGACTAACCAGAATAATCCAGGTTTTTAGTATATTTTTTATTGCTACATGGCAAACAAGTTACCAGTAGGTGCAGTAGATTCTCAGAAAGCAAACAAGACCCAGCATTCATGATATGCACGCTCTTAAGGCTGTGCAACTGGGCAATTAGTTGAAAGGGGTGTGTTCAAAAAAATAGCAGTGTCTGCCGTTGACTGTACAAACACAAAACTATGTTGTACAAACGTTTTTGTTTCTAGGATTTAGCAATCCTGTGAATCACTAAACTAATATTTAGTTGTATGACCACAGTTTGTTATAACTGCTTCACATCTGTGTGGCATGGAGTCAACCAACTTGTGGCACCTTTCAGCTGTTATTACACTCCATGATTCTTTAACAACATTCCACAATTCATTTACATTTCTTGGTTTTGCTTCAGAAACAGCATTTTTGATATCACCCCACAAGTTCTCGATTGGATTAAGGTCCGGGGATTGGGCTGGCCACTCCATAACATTAATTTTGTTGGTTTGGAACCAACACTTTGCTCGTTTACTAGTGTGTTTGGGGTCATTGTCTTGTTGAAACAACCATTTCAAGGGCATGTCCTCTTCAGCATAAGGCAACATGACCTCTTCAAGTATTTTGACATATGCAAACTGATCCATGATCCCTGGTATGCGATAAATAGGCCCAACACCATAGTAGGAGAAACATGCCCATATCATGATGCTTGCACCACCATGCTTCACTGTCTTCACTGTGTACTGTGGCTTGAATTCAGAGTTTGGGGGTCATCTCACAAACTGTCTGTGGCCCTTGGACCCAAAAAGAACAATTTTACTCTCATCAGTCCACAAAATGTTCCTCCATTTCTCTTTAGGCCAGTTGATGTGTTCTTTGGCAAATTGTAACCTCTTCTGCACATGCCTTTTTTTTAACAGAGGGACTTTGCGGGGGATTCTTGAAAATAGATTAGCTTCACACAGACGTCTTCTAACTGTCACAGTACTTACAGGTAACTCCAGACTGTCTTTGATCATCCTGGAGCTGATCATTGGCTGGGCCTTTGCCATTCTGGT